AGTATTTTCAAAGATTTAAGTTGATCTTGAAAAGATATTAAATGATCAGGATTAGTAAGTGGCTTCTCTTTGTTTCTCCTGGCTTAGTTGAAAATTTTGTTTAGAAAATTCATTTATTTGACGGTATAAATTGACATGTACGACTTAATCAATTATAAATTAATCTGGGGTGTATTATATTATGATACATATCAACCTCTAACTATATTAAGTGTTTGTTCGACCTAGTTTTCACCGTTTAGTCGGAGCGTCAGGGCGACCTTGTGAAACTTACCTAGTCCTGTGTCCTCTACCATAGTATGTATGATTTCCAGCTTCGGACCATCGACTTGGTACATTCCCAAACGTTTCGCCGACATCGTCACTGAGAGGCACCATCGTTAGAATATAATTACAATTTATTAAAGTTACAAGCGAAGACAATATCCTAGACCAATTTTCCTTTAAACCGTTTTGGCATCATTCCTCGCCCATATTTTTTGTCTTACATTCTATAGTTTAATATCTTTCTATCGTATGTATGAAGACTAAGATGTTGTGGCCTCTGGTATGGTCGCAGTCTCCTTATAATTTATAGAAGTGGGTTGACCTCCTTGTCGCAACCTGGCCTTGATGTCAGGATGGCTTAGTAGAACGCACCTAGTCCGAAGTCGTCTGCCACAGTAGTTGTCATAATTCGCAGCATCAGACAGTGGAATTGGAACATTTTCAAACTTTTCGCCGGCATCGTAGTCGCCATCATCAGTGAGTTTTGCCATTCTCCGCTCTAATCTACGAACTCGTCAAAGGGACAAGTGAAGTCAATCCCTCGACAAACGTTACGCCGAAAACGGTTACACTATCACTCCTCGTTCTGTCCTGGCCTATCTATCTACTCTTTACACTCTTATCAAACTCACGCCCTATCACAACTTCTCATTTGTTTACATTCCACTCGTCAAAATGTGTGCCCTTTTGTGGCAAATCTAGTGTAGCCTCATCACACTTGCTATTCACACCGACCCCCTCTCGTTCCAACGCTGATCCGACTCGGGCATCCGATCCGGATCACCTCATTGTCTCGTAGATCCGTTCCTTATCTTTCTGGTTGACCGATTTCACTTGGTTCCAGACCCAGTGTACATTTCACTCCAGGCGCTATCTCCCAAGGCCATGGAAGCACGTACACTGCCGCTTCACTCAGCAGAGAGCCTAAGCTCTGATTCCAATGCTTGCAGATATCAGGCTTTCCCTTCACGAGTCGTCTCCTTGATTATACCCATGTTATCTGAGCAAACTGTGGACGCCTATCTCTGGTGGCACGCGGCATTTCAAGTGGATTTATATTACATTTTCTCCATAACGCCGAATTTGCGTGACGGTTTGCTTATCCGTCTGCCCAGCTCCCTGACTGCCAGGCCGACAAAGTTGTAATGGTTTAATCGAAACGGACATCACGCACTGACAACATCTTCGCTTGATTGCCGAAAACCTCGTCTCCCCAGTTTCTTTATCCCTATCTCTTTTTCTCCGGTTAGTGGTAGATCCTTGATCCAGGCCCCTTCTTTTTGCTGGCCTTTCTCTATTCTTGTTTTCCCCTAATTTGCTTAAGCAGTAGGCAAAGTTATCGCTAACTACCTTCCTGGACAAATCGAATAGGATATTGGTCAGCTACCCAATCGAAGTGATACAAAGAAACATACGAGCCGTGAAAATTTAATGACAGAACTGGGACTATGAAAGAACAATAAGGACGATGAAGGACTCACCAAAGTGTATATACCTACCTTCCTGCAAACTAACTCAAAAACAATGTCCAATATTGAGTAAATGGAATATTCAGGTGGCCATGAAAGACAAATCAACACTTTTCACAAGTCTATCGACGCAACATGAAAGGGTAGATAAATTGGATTGTTCATGAGTTTAATGTATATAATGCGGGGCTTGCGAAAAAAATATATTGGCGAAATATGGAGAAAAATTAGCACACGAATCAAGGAACATTAGAGGCTTTGCAGGAAAATGGATGCCGACAGATCGGAACTGGCGGAACTCATCGCATAGACTGGACATGAGATCATTTGGAAGGCAACAGAAAGAAGAGCTTCATACGGTGACAACACAAGGTAGCGGAAAATAAAGGAGACCATTGACATCCTTGGGGAGAAAAATCTAATGAAGAAGAGATTAGAGGAAGGTAGAGTTAGCGATAACTTTGCCAACTGCCTAAGCAAACTCGGGGAAAATAAGAATAGAGCATGAGCAACAAAAAAGGATCTATCGCTAACAAGAGGAAAAGGGATCGCGATGAAGAAAGTGGGGAGCACGAGTTTTCGGCAATCAAGCTAAGGCGTTGTCATTGAGTGATGTCTGTTTCGAAAAAACCAGTACAACTTTGTCGGCCTGACAGTCAGGGAGCTAGGCAGATGGATAAGCAAACCATCACTGAAAATCGGCGTTATGGCGAAAATGTACTATAAATTCACTTGAAATGCCGCGTGCCACCAGAGATAGGCGTCCACAGTTTGCTCAGATAACATGGGTTTAATCAAGGAGAGGACATGTGAACGGAAGGCCTGATATCTGCAAGCATGGTAATCAGAGCTTAGGCGCTCTGCTTAGTGAAGGGGCAGTGTAAGTTCTTCTAGGGCCTTGAGAACTAGCGCCTGGAGTGAAATGTGCACAGGGACTGGAACCGAGTGAAATCGGTCATCCAGAAAGATAAGGAAAGGATCTACGAGACAATGAAGGGATCCGGATTGGAGGCCCGAGTTGGATAAGCCGATCGAAAGAGAGGGGTCGGGAAAATATCGAGTGTGGTGAGGCTACACTAGATTTGTCACAAAAGGGCACACATTTTGACGAATGGAATGTAAACAAGTGGGAAGTTGTGATGGGGCGGCAGTGAAAGAAGAGTGTAAAGAGTAGATAGATAGTCCAGGACAGAAAGAGGAGTGATAGTGTAACCGTTTTCGGCAGTACGTTTGTCGAGGGATTGACTTCTCTTTTCTCTGTCGAGTTCGTAGCTTGGTGCGAAGAATGGAAAAACTTACTGATGATGGCGACTACGATGCCGGCGAAAAGTTTGAAAATTTTCCAATTCCACTGTCTGTAAATTATGACAACTACTATGGCAGACGACTTCGGACTAGCTGCGTTCTACTAAGTCACCCTGACAATAAGACCATGTTTCGACAACGAGGTCAACCCACTTATATTGATAGTTTATGTCAGTGATTCCCAAAGTGTGCTCACCGGCGCCCCGGGAAGCCGCCGCCTCTTTGCAGGGCGCCGCGAAATATTGTAAAAGCTTCCTAATTAATTTAACCCAGATATTTGGCTTAACTAAACAAAAACGACAGAGAAATCGCTGTGTCTTCTCGATCCCGCCATATGATCGCACTAGACACGACGAGGTGCATAGAACCTTAGCGACAGATTTGGAATGTTCTGGAAGATCTTGCGGAAAGTATATAAGCAAGCGTTTCCGGCTCGATTCAATCAGTTGACTTATAATTTAAGTCTAATGAAGTTAAACTCATCGCTTCATATATAAATAATCAGTGGCATAAATTTGTAAATGAGTTTATTTTCTTATTTAGTTAGTGTTATATTACTTCTTGTTTGTTGTCTTTGATAAATAATTTTGTGATTTTTGCTCGTGTATCTTTGATAATGGACCGATTTTTCAACAGTTATAAGCGTGATAGTGCAGATAAAGAAAGTATCCCTTTAACCAGTGGCATTAGTATGAAGAAACGAACATATCGTAAATATTACGACAGTTATTTAGAGTTTGGTTTTGCGTCAACAAAAATTAATGGTGAAGCTATAGCACAATGTGTATTGTGTACGAAAGTTTTGTCAACAGAGTGTATGCTTCCAAGTAAATTGAAGAGCCATTTAGGAGCTAATCACAGCAGCATGGTTGGCAAACCTCGTTATTGTTTAGCCAGAAAGTTAAAAGAACTGAAACAACAAAAAAATACATTTTTTAAAACTGAATCAATACCAAACAACGCTCTGTTAGCATCTTACAAGGTGGCTTGCAGAATCGCGAAATGTAAGAAGCCTCATACCATCACAGAAGAACTTATTCTACCGGCCTTTGTAGACATGGGGAACATGATGGTTGATGAGCCTGCTGGAAGGCTTCTTTTAAAAATGCCTTTGTCCAATAACACAATTAGTCGGAGAATACAAGGTATGGTGAAGGATATCAACGATCAATTAATTGAAAAAAATAAAGGAGTTAATTTGGATTGCAGATAGATGAGGCTACGGATAATAATACGGATGCTCATTTGATATGCTATGTACGGTTTATAGATGGTTATAATATTAAAGAAGACCTGTTTTGTAAAAATATCACTTCAGGAGCGAAGGCTCAGCACCTATTCGAGATTCTTGATATATTCATATCTAAAAATAATTTGAATTGGCCTAAATGCGTTGATGTCTGTACTGATGGAGCTCGCTCAATGTCTGGCTGCTATGGAGAATAACTGGCCCTTATTCGAAGCAAATCACCAAATGCACTGTGGACCCATTGCATTATTCATAGAGAAGCGCTTGCGTTAAAACGTCTGAGTCCTACACTGATTCATGTGTTAGAACGTGCGGTGAATGTGGTAAATTTTATAAAATCTCGTCCATTGAAAGCAAGGTTTAAAAAAAACTGTGTGAGGATATGGAAGCCGAACACTCGTCTTTGTTTTACTATAGCAGTGTACGATGGCTCTCTCGTGGCAATGTTTTATCACGTACCTTTGAATTACGGCAAGAAATTTTTATTTTCTTTAAAGAGAAAGGATGCAAAAGATGCTGAATATTTTGCTGATGCCGATTTTTTTATAAAACTGGTATATTTATGCGACATTTTTGAAAAGCTGAATTCCCTTAATCGCTCTCTACGGGGAAAGAATATGCACCTTTTGAAATCAACGGAAAAAATATCAGCTTTTGTAAAAAACTCAAACTATGGAGAAGAAAATTGAATGGAGATACAGACAAAGATTGTTTTTCAATATTACAGCAATTTTTGACGTCAAATGAACATGATCTTTCTCGAGATATAAAAGCCATGTTTGAGGAGCACTTATCACAGTTAATTAACTGGTTTGGGGAATATTTTCAAAATGAAAATTTTGATAAGTTTGCATGGATTCATGATCCATTTAACACTAGCATTCCGACTGAATTTACTTCTGCAGAAGAAGAGAATCTTATCGAGTTATCTTGCGATAACAGTTTGAAAGCAAAATTTGGCAGCATCGAATTGACAGAATTTAAGATTTCAATAAAAGATGAATATCCCCTTCTAAGTGATAAGGCTTAGCGGATTCTAATTCCATTTTCGACGTCTTATTTTTGCGAACATGGGTTTTCGGCAGTCACGGTAATAAAAAGCAAGTATAGAGCAAAAATCAACGTGGGAAAGGAAATTATGGGGACCGTGTAATTCCACGATTTGAGAAAATTTGCAGTGATTTGCAGGCTCATCCTTCACATTAATTATTGAATATTAATTCAATGTTAATAAAGTAAAAAATATAATGAAGATACACGAGTTTTATTTATTTTTATCTCTTACACGAATAGTCATACTTAGGGTAGGGCGCCATAGAAAAATTTTAATTGAAAAAGGGCGCCGCGACTAGGAAAAGTTTAGGAACCTCTGGTTTATGCTAAACTAACTTTTCTCGTAGGAAAGAAATCTTTGTGAAAGAAGTTATTCTTAACAAATATAACTCATTCTTTGTTGTGAGACCAGATAAGAATGCCCTCTGTTAAACATTTTGCATAAAATGAAACATCAAGTGAAGGTATTTAGTTGAATTTCAGCTTTCTAATATAATGATATATTTAGTTTAATGGTCCTATTGGAAATGTAAACTATTGGTGTTCTGGCTTGCCTTGAAAATCACTCTTTCCCTGTGACTAGCTAGCAACGTGGGGCCGTATTTCCAAACGAAGCCATTTGATATGCTTGAGTTGGTTTAGAATCTTGTTGGGGGTTATTATTAGCTAGGGGCGTTATCAAAACTTCCGCCTAGCCTGATAGTATTTAGGTTCATATTCGGTTTTTACCGATAAATTCGAAACATACATGTTTAGTAAGTGAAACATAAAAACAAAAGCTATGAAGACCAAGATTGTGTGGCCTTTTGTGTGGTTGCAGTATCATTTCGTTGTATAGAAGTTGTTTGACCTTGTTTTCGCAACTTGGTCATTTTGGTGGGAAGACTTAGAGCAATGCAACTAGTCCGAAGTCCATTGTATGCATGATTATTTCCAAAGTTTCTTTGACGAGTTTTAGTATGGTGCTAAGAATGGCAAGACTCACTGAAGATGGCGACTATGATGCCGGCGAAACCTCTGGGAATCTACCACCTCCACGGTCTGACTGGAAATTATCATGCATGCAATGG